GCTCGTGTCGTGTGCGTCCAATGCTGCCCCTTTTCTTTCCCTTGCCCTCCCTTTTTAACTTTCCCGTCCTGTTTTCTGTTTAACCCTCGCACCCGCTTCGGAGCTTCGAACGATCCTTTCACGTGTTTTCATACCCGTGATACCTCTCACGAACGCGAAAACTCTTCGATCGCATTAAGCGGATTTCACTCGATCACGAGGCGGTCGAACAAACAAATCGGTTGAGCGAACGCATTTCGTTTCGTTCTCTGTGATTGTGTGCCGTTGCCATTGTGCTATCGTGCCGCTCAAGAATAGGACTACCTTGGGAAGAGTTTTGATTTATAACGAGTTTAAGCCGACCCAGATCATGGGATATCTGTTTTCTTCCTGCAACTGAAGAGTTTTCGTTTTCTGTTTTTTTAGTAACGCGAAATGATAATATACAATTAAAATCTAAAAACAAATTTTCAAGTCTCACCTTGTTATTCATTTTTTATAAAATCTATCCAAACGTCAAAAATATCTGCAGTCTAAAAACGAGTAATCTTTTGAAAAAGAAAAGAGACTGGCAAGAAAAACATAAACGATACACTTTATGATAGACTGTTTTAACCCTTTAAAGGTGTAAAAATATCACGACAAAGCAACGAGCTTTCTTAAGATATTTCAAAGAAGAAAAATTCTTACCAGTATATACATATACATATAAATATACACACGTGTGTATGCGTTTTAGCAATGGAATATGTAAGAAGAATGTGTCTTGGAAAACAACTTGGGAAAAGTCAGAAACGTAATATAGCAGATAGCCTGTTCTTATTCCGACATCCTGATCACAGGTAGGGGGATCTTTTACCGATTTACGAGCTGGACGTCAAGCTCGCAGGATCATCGAATCCCTCACAATGGGCGGTCGTGTTTTTCGTTGCATCCAGCAGGATCGACCACACCTTTTACCTGCGCTTATAATCCGGAAGCATTCGCGAGAGCACGCACCAAGGTTCGAAACATTAAACAGATATTGTATCGACACCTTTCAAGAATATAACAGAAATATTCCAATACGATCCTCTTCTTATCGAACAATTCGGCTTATTGTTAACATTGATCCTCCTTCGGATCCATGAGAAATTGTACATCTAACAATAGGCTAAAATTTTAAAGATAATATGCAATTTGTGATTACATTAAATTTTCTTTCCTCGATTTCAGGAAATTTGATTTCATATTTATTTTCTCGACTGGTGCTTGTCTCTTACTCTTTCTTTGCCTTTCGAATTCATATATGCAGCTTTACCTCTCATTGTAAACCGATGAATATTTTGATATTGCCTTGTAAAGAGGACCGATCTCCTGAATAAATCATGCATCTGCAACTCTTATATTGGACGTATGGACTGAGTTGCACAAGTTTGTCACGCGAATGAGTTGAAGCGACTGTCGCTGATGGGACGTCATTGATTTATGCGCACCAGTTTATATTCGACGCGATTTTCGTATGGCGAATAGCATAAACAGCCATGCGTTTGTGTCTATAAGCACGAAGCTTGCTTCATTTTTGTGTCTCAATTCTGATTTCATCGAATAGAAATATAAGTAGATTAAATTTCTCCCTCTGTAATATCGATAAACTTGAATTTTATAATACCATTAAATTAAATATAAATAAATTAAATTCCTAGATTAAATATAGAAATTCCTATGACATATAAAAAGATGTAAAATGTGACGCTTGACAGCGCAGGTTCGGTAGTAAAATTTCGTCTCAATTTGTCGAGAGTTGATTTGATACATGCTGCCTTTCTCCATAGTTGGAGAATACGTGTAATTAATCTTGATACAGCGAAGGTACACACCGGTGCAGCGAATATACACAGCGGAGTGCTCGTCACCCGACAAATTTCCGCCGGCCGATTATATTTATCGCCTGATTTCAGCCGGCAGATTACATTATTTTAATGCTTAATGCGTTACGCCTCTGGCCCGGCTTCCTTGGCAAAGACGGGTGGTTGCATGTGGTAGCGGCTACGACAAAATATTCGGCAGGGTTTCGAGATCTCTACGCTAAATGTACTCAAATAAAGCAATCTCCACGATCAGACAACGACAACGCGGCGGCGTTTGTCTTTTATCCTCCGTTTTACCCCTTCCCTTTACCTCAGTCAGCTTCCTCCCCAACCCCATCGAGTATTTTGATGACAGTGGCCACTGGTCACTGCTGGCGGTTCCAGCTTCCTCTTCTTTGTCAAGGCAAACCCTTCTGACAAAGCGAAGGTGGTAGTCTGCCGGAGAATTAATTGCTTTGAACAATATTTACGTTCTCTCGTCTAAGAGATTCCTTCCTTTCTTTTATTCGTGAGCTTCATTTTTTTTCTTTACGAAGGCCTGACCGAGGATACCCCAACCCCTAACCGACAAGGAAGATGTCGCGCGATTTTTATCAAGTTTCCGAGGAATCTCGAGGAAGCCGGCCCTCGAGAGTACGAATCCTCGTCCGCTGGCATGAGAACGTGTACGAGAAGGGCCTCGCGAGACAAGTCAACATCGCCACGCGACATCCATTCGAATTTTTATGGGATCTTTACGTATCGTTCGATAATCCAATCGTAATACGATTCTTCTTTTTTCACGTTTTTACGAAAGACTTAACGAAGTTCTTCGCTTTCGGAACTGTATCGAACATTTGCAGTGAGAATTGTACAAATGCGATACAAATGTAAATTTTCACCCATCAAGGACGAAGGAGAGGGAGGAAATAAAAACAGTCAGAGTGATATAAAGTAAATACAAAATGCAGTGCTTATAAATATTTCAATTTCTTTAAACCTCGTAGTACTATCTGGCGAAGAAAAACGTCAACGAGAAGAAGCTGTTACGCGATAAAAGCGTTATATTAGGGTCCTTTCGAGCACAGTGTATTTTACCACCGTTTCGTGTATCTTTCTACTTTTTACGTAAAAAGAAAATACGCGTTGTTTGTATACTCATGTTCGACAAATTTTCCAGTTTCCGTACAACGAGGGTTCACGCAACATCGCCCTTCTAACGTTTACGCTAACCAAATATGTAGTGCTAATCACCAGGATGATGTCATGTTCCATCCTTCTTCTCTCTGCACCGTGTTAATTATAGTTTATTCGACGTCGAACATGCTAGACAATGTTTATACGGATGCTGGTCGCGCGCCCATATTTTTCACAAAATATCAAACGTTGGGCATAAAATGGTAAAAGAAATGGTAAAGGTAAACGAGATTTTCGTTTCTCTAGGCAACGAAAGCGATTCTTCTCCAGCGAATTAAAAGCACGTAGGTGAATTATTTTATTGCTCTTCGCAAAAGATGTGATCGTCCTTGGCTATCTATCTAATAATTAAATGCTTTTACGTGGAAAACAGTAGTGGAAAGAAATGGAGCAAAGTGCGATGACGATAGCAAAGAATCGAAGGTGAAAAGAGCGAAAAGATAAATAAAAAAGAAGAGTCATCGTTAAAGAAAGGAGGCTGCAGGTTCTCAAATTGCAATGAAACCGGGCACCGACGCGTCGCGTGGGTTTCGTATGACGACCAGACCACCGATGACGATGCTGTTTTTCTTTCGCCCTGAATATACTTTTCATCCCTTATGATACAACTTTGTTCGTTCAACGAAATTAAACCCGATTCAAGCAATTACAAGGAAACTTTATTCCATTGCGCGACTCTTAAAACAGTCGAGTAAGGAACGTTCGAAGAGTAGACGTTTATAGAGGCGAAAAAATGTTCTACTACGCCTCGAAGAGAACATCGAAGTCTCTTTGGAGTTTGGAGTTTAAGCTAAACTCGCGAGGTCCTCTTATAAGACTTCGAATTGTAAGACTTCGCTTAACGAAATTGGCGAGGGAAGGATATTCGAAAACTACGAGAATGTATAAAATAATTATATTTTTCAACACATGCAGTTTCAGTCTCAAAGAGCGCAGTAATATTTATAATACAATAAATTATAAGTACGTAACTTGGTGCGCCTTTATAATACAATATCGAGTTAACGATTTATCCATTAAAATATCGTTACTTTACAAAATTTACAAAGTTTCTAGTATTTACAGAAATCTTGGGAATGCGTGTCTAAACCTTTCTCGCATCGTTACGTTTCGCATGATAAATATTACGATAATAATACTAAAAAATATAAACTATAAGACGATGGCCAATATCGTTTTACAAAAGATAAACGAGTGAATGGTACGCAGTTATAAGAATCATCGGATAACTGAAATGATATTCTGTAATTACAGCTGTAAATATCTACAAGAAAATGATAATGGATCGTTCCTACGTTTCAAACACAATTCCTATAATTCGACTAAACAATGTAAACGTAATTCATATCTCGTACATTTGGACGAAACATCTTTTCTATACACAAGCCAAAATTCAACTATTTCGGTCCTCCGGTTAATTCCACTAAACACTTTCGTTCAATTTCAACGACCGACTTTACCAGTTCGTTGACTAACACGATCTTCAGCGAAATCTTAAAAAAAAAAAAAAAAAAAAAGAA